ATCTGTTCCTGATCAAAAGGACAAAGCATTTCTGGTCAAGGAAATAAAAACAACTAAGAAAACTTAGCATAAAGGGGGAGGGCAGCTAGGTTACAGCAAACTGCAGGGAAACCTAACATGAAGCTTTCTGTCCTTCCACTGGAATGTGCTACAATAATATTTACCCCTGTGTTTTAGGGAAAAAATCAAGTGCTGTCAAAACCCTGCTATTCTATAGCATCTACTGGGCCAGCACATTAATACTAATACGTTATTCAAGACAACACGCAAAGGAATGAGATGCTATTGACAAAGTCAGTTTTTTATTTCAAAGCCAGAATACTGTGTAGAGGAAGTAATGATGGGTTAGTTGTCTGGAAGGTAAAAGGGACAAAAGAGTAGAAGGATCTGTTTTGTGAGGCATCATCTGTCAATGTAACTGATTTGTCTGGCCAAAATAATGCAAAATAGGAACTTGCATTAAAAGTTCCTTTTTGTTTTGCAGTGTTTGAGGGTATCTCACTTCCTGTAGCCATGCATGCCTGTATATTTAAAGGAATTTAAATATTGCTTGACTCAGCATTGTAACACCCAACTAACTTAGGAACTTAAATTGCATTGTCAAATGATTTAGGCACTTAGGAGTTTGTCCCGTTGAATTTAAAGATTTAGGACTTAGTGCACTATGAGTGTGTGATTTCAAAAGCACACTAACATGTTGGTACACATGCACTGCAGGGCCTACGCATACCAATTCATGCACAATGCATTTGTGTGCTTTTGAAATCACACCCCTATAATGCAGATTGACTTCCATCATCCAAGGACTTTTCTATATGGTGCAACAGATAGGCATTGCAAACGAGAGCTGAGTAAAGCCTAAACGTCTTTTTAAAAATTGGGCCTCCTGCTTTTTTGAAGTAACTCTTTTGGTGTGGCAGTTTCTATGGACATTTGTGGTAGGAATTTGAAAAAGCATATGACAATTCTTAGGAATGTCTATCATTCTTGCTTATTTTGAGATCCTACTATTTTCATAAGAGTCTCTAGCATTAACTGGTTTTAGATACAGTAATTACTCATTTAGCACGTGCCCGCTTAACATGTTTTCGCAATAGCACAATTTTTTTTTAGGAATGTTTTTCGAATAACACGACTGTCCCCGAAATAACATGAAAATATTCAAGCGGTGGACTACTTCACGCGGCGGTATAAGTTGGTGAAAACAGTGGTAATATGCGTGAGTGGATGAATACACGTGGTCACAGCGCTCCTCTGCTCACTCACATGTTTATCTTTGTGTTTTAACAAACCACAGAGACTTGTGTTGCTAGTTATCTTGTGTTGCTAGATATCTGATGACCCAGCACCAACAAAAAATTGACTTTGCCACCACCACCTGAAACACAACCCCCACCTTTTCCATTATTTGTAATGGGAAAATTGACCCCGCATAGCACGTTTTTGCTTAGCACGAACATTTTCAGAAATGCATCTGTAGTGTTAAATGAGGAATTACTGTAATCAATTTTTCCAATATTTTAGCTCCAGTGTTGCAATGTGGCATTTACTATGTGTTTTTTCATGCCACAATCAAAACTTTATTTGGACAAATTTTACCTTCCTCTCTGATTTGGCCCCAAACCAGGGGGATCTTCATACTTCCATCTTGTTGAACATTTTTTGTACACATGGAGATGCTAAAAGATGGCTCTTGGTTTGAATGTGGTTTATGCCTAGAACTAACGTCACCCATGAATGTTTCCCAAAATCTACTGGATACATCCAAAACACTGAAGTTAGCTACTTATTTCTTTCACATTTCGAAGCTGAAAATGTTCACCCTAGTAACTTTATTCAGTTCCTTGAGACCTTGGCATATTTTTGGAGTTTTGTTTTGTTTTTCTAAACACAAAACTCACAAACAGTAACGAGTGTTAAAAATACTTTTCTGAATTAAACAAAACTCTGTTAAGATACTTTTTTTTCTCTTGTCATTAGGTCTCCCAGCACCTCATGTTGGAATTTTGTTGTCTGTCTTCTCTTATTATATCTAATCTAATTATACAGATTGGACCTTCCTAGTCCGGCACCCTCAGGACCTGACTGGTCCTGAACAAGGGATTTTGCTGGATACAGGGAGGTCATTTCTGACTCACATCACTGGACACCAGCCCAGCTCCACTCCTGGCCCAATCACCAGCCTCCTGCAAGCTCCCCCTGCCAACGGCCCCACTGTTTTGCTGGTTGTCAGCTGCTGTGCCAGGCTCCTGGCCCAGTGAACTAGGTTTCCAGTCCCGCCAGCAGCCCGCTTCCCCTCTGGGCTCCTGGCCCTGCTAGCAGCCCACTGCTGCACCGGAACTCCCGACCCTGCTGGCAGCCTGCTGCCTCGCCCACAACCCAACTGGACTCCTGCAGTAGGGCTCCCAGCCACCAGCCCCCCTGCAGCCAGCCCGGCTGGGATTCCAGTCCTCACAGTGCTCCTGCTGCTGGCCTTCTATCAGGACACTCTGATCCAGGAACATCTGGATCCATGATCCAGGACCATGGATGTTATGTTCATGTTAAAAAAGATTTTATTTTTAAAAATGTGAACATCTAGCCTTTCTGGTTGGGAAAATAACCTTTAAGATAAAACTGTTCAGAGCTGTCTTTCTAAATCTGCAGAGAGATAACATTAAAAAAAAAAGGGTTTTTGCCTGGCATGAAAGTTTTCAAAGGAGACTTGTAGTATACTGATGAAAGTGTGCATGCATATGCAGACTTCCACCAATTTATGTATATAGCAAGACTGTGCAAAAAAGTATGGTGATTGAATGCACAAAGGAGCATTTGGGTGTCTGTACATTTGTACATGCAATTGTGATTAATGCACATAGAAATAGAGGTTAGGAATTGTGCCTCTATTTTTCACAGAGTACTGATAATTTAACCTTAAATGTCAAATTTCTGAACTATTTCACTGTATATCTATGTAACGTGAAGTTCCGGGGAGACTGTAATCGAGCATCACTGCCATTTTTTGGCAATCTGAATGCAGATGAATGAGTGCCGTTTTCAGACTATATAAATACAATGGCACCTTTTTTTCTTTCTAAGGCTCCTCTCTCTCCTCATATTCAAATGAGAAGTGCTGGCAAACCCAAGTGAAGGATGTGGGGCGGAAACACAGGAAAGGGAATTCTGATACTGTCAGGATGCATCACAGACACGATCTGTGACACACTTCTTTCTCCAGCAGCTCATTACAGTAAGAAAAATAATTAATGTGCAGGAGGGGAAAGTGCTTGCACTGCAATTTTCCTGCATGGAGCAGTCACAAAGGTTACGTTTCATCCCAAAATGGCTTTGCTGGCTTCACAGAACTCAAGCAAAACATTGATGTTGGTGATTGACCCTACGTTCTTTGGCTGGTCATGCTGTATTTGTTTACCACTGAGGGTAAATTGCAGTGCCACCAAACATTACATATAAATTCTGAAAACCATAACATTGAATCTAATTTTGGAGTTGGACAAAATATGGGTCATAAAGACCTGATGTCAGGGTGGTGTTTTTGCTGCCTTTATCAGAATACAATAAGATTAGGTCACAAGAAATCTGAATATTATCTGTGTGTTGACTTATAAGGCAGAGCATAGCTACAGTACAGATCTCTTTGACTTTCACTATGTCATGCCACAGTTTGACCCTATGAGCATCCCAGTGCCAAATGACAAGGGACTCTCTGGTACACAGCAGCGTACCCCAACTCTCTGTTGTCATATCCAAAATGGGTCATGTAAGGTATCATACACAAACTGGTGACACTCTAGTGATTAATGTAATTGTGAAATGTATGTATTAACACTATATGAGGAATTATGGATACTCATTAATATATGCTCTAAAGTCTATGATCAAACAAGGAGGGAAACAGGATTTTACCCAGAGAGGAGGGAAGACAGCTATCCATCTTCAGTGAAATTAAGCAACGTGCTTTAGATCAACAGCCTAGTTAAATGGGGCCCTTTGAGCTGGTAGGTTGGGAACATTGCTCTGACAGCCAAAGGCTGGGAGACTGATTTTTTTTCTCCTTTCTTGGGAGAAAAAAAAGTAGTGAGCATTCAAGTGCTTACCCACAACTATCAATGTCAACTTCTTCTGCAGAGTCCATGGTTCAGGGTTTGGGCTGATCATCCTCCAGACACTGTTTGCTAAGGTTGGTCTTGGAATGACACATTTTAATGAGATGATAGAAATCTCTCTTTTTTCAGTGTATGTTGTTAGTCTGGTATCAAAGCTCTGGCACAGCCTATGTCCTCTTCAGTGATGTGTGGTCAATGGAGCTAAGGCAGCTCTCAGACTGGGCTTTGGTGTATCCTAGACCTGAGTGCAGATTAGAGCATACACAGTCAAATACTTGGCTAAATTCGAGTCCTCTAAAACTTGCAGTGGCATAAAGCATATGCAGTCTTTCTGCTGTTCAGGGATGCACAGCCGAGCAGCATAGCCTTAAAGGTAAATGGCTTTGGGATGGAATAGAGAATGGCCTGGATGTGCATCTGTGGAGCCATCAGTGGAGATTAAAGCAGCTCTTCCTCAAAAAAGAAGGCCAGGCACTGGTAGTCTGGTAGTGCCACCAACCTTCACTCAGCTGAATCCCTCTGGGAATAACTGGATGCACCATCCGGAGTGTGTTTGTGATATTTGACCATGGTTAATAAACAGTTGTGAGAAGTAGAGAAATAGGAGTAGAGTGTGCAGTTTCCATGAACTGCACACTTCCGTGAAGTTCTTGCAAGACCCAGGAATCCTTTAAAAACGCCAGCGTGGTCTGTTCTTGTTTTTCCTATGAATCTTGATTACCCTAAAACTGAAGGGAGATAATCAACAGCCATTTTATAATCCCTATGCAATAGACTGTACTTTTTACTTTAACTCACGCTAGTTGCTTCAGAAAAGCGAAACCCACAAAGATTAATCCACCAACCTGACTTGCAATCAATACATTTAATGGGTTTGTTGTTGTTGTTCTGCAGGTCCTGGTTGCTAAATCTCCTGTTGCTCCATTCGCAGCTTTCTTCTACACCATTGAAAATTCTGGTCTTGTTCTTCAAGGTAAGACAATGAAAAGGAGATTTTGTTTTTACCAATGAGTGTTTTAGATAGGCTGAAGGCAGAAGATACTGTGATTGTTTAAAATGGTGCTGTTGATAACTAAGTAAAAGAATGTATTGGAGCAAGCTAGCTGACACACACAATCCCGCTGCTCCTTTCATTGTCCTGTCTTGAATTATATTGTGTTGGTGCCTATTTCCATCTATCTGAGAGCAAATGAGCAATGAAGTCATTAATCAAGTCTCTGTTTTCCCTCAAATTATTCTGGTAGCATGTCTCCAATAAACGGACTTCTCATACAGAAATGAACACGTTGAAATATGATCAAAACTAGCAGACTTACCTGGGATTGCCCGGGTCCAGCATGGGGAGGGGTAAGGGAAAGGACTATGCAGGCCTCCTGCTGGTGCACCCCAGATCAGCCCAAGATTGAGGGGGGCATGACCCGGCATTTGGTGGGAGTCCTTGCCTAGAGATGTAGGGAGGGGGGCCAGCCCAGGATTTGGAGTTGGAGATGGAGGCTGGCCTGGGGTTGGCAGAGAGGGTTATGGGGGGGGAGCCAGGGCTACGCTGGCACTCCCTGGGCCAACATTCCCTGGGGCTGGCCCAGGGGCAGGGAATTCTGCACACGCCTCCCCAGGCCCAGCCTGAGAAGCGGAGGGAACGAATGGGGGACTGTGCAAGTGAGAGGAGGGCACCAGTGGGTCCTGTGTGGGGTGACCATGGCTAGGCTGGCTGCCCCAATGGTTCAGGGAGGAGGGTGTGGAGATCGGGTAGTAGGGGGAGGAGGGGATTTAGCCAGGGAGGCCGCTTACTGGTGGCAGGCAAGATGGTGGCGTCCCATCCCTAACTGACCACTCCGGTGGTGGTGCAGCTGCCCACAGTCATCACTCTGCAGGATAACTCTCCACTGCACTCACTGCCCCCAGTAGTGAGTATGAGGATTGTGTCCCTCCTCTCTTTCTGTCCTCCCTTTCCAAGTTATGGAAAATTAGCAAATTCCAGGCACATCCCATTTTCCTGGCACAACCAAACCCTGACCTTGCTTTAAGTTGGGGTAAGAGGAAGGTGCATACCAAATTTGGTGGTCCAAGCTCTTACTGTTTAGGAGGCGTTCTTGAGCAAACAGACTAACAGACAGACACAGAGACGGACACAAACCTCTAAAATATATACATATATAAAGAGAGATGCAATAAGATATTGTTCCCTGCTAGCCATTTGACTGAGATCAATGAAAACACAGGAAATCATTAACTATCCCCTTTCTTATATGTGGGTTTTTTTTCTGTTCATTTTAAGATGAAGGTCATCTAACCATAAATACATCTATAATTCCCCTTCCGCCCCCCTCTCTCCTGCTCACCATATTGAATCCATTTTTTGCTGGACTGATCTTAGTGGTTTCCATCCATTTTCTTAATTGATCCAATTTACCAGGCTGAGTTCTTAAGGCAGACCTATCAGTGCTGCTCCTTGCATTCAGATGTGTGTGATCTGTTCTGCTATGGAGCTAATATTGTTTAAAAACCTTAGTCTCACTGTTCCTCATTCTCCACTGGCTGGGAAATCAGTGGCCTATCTGATTCTGTGTGGCAGTTTAGATTGTAAGCTCTTTGAAGCAGAGCCTGTCTTTGGCCTGTGTTTTTATAGCACCTAGCACTGTGTAGTCCTGGTCCATGACTGGGGCTCTCACAGGTTCTACTTACAGTAATACAATCATTAATAACTCTATACACTGGTCAGAGAAAAAGGATACTCAGATGATTTTCAATTGAATGTATCCATTTTTGTTGGTTTGACTCATTAGTGTGTTTGTGAGGTCCCCTAGATGCTCTCTAAACAGTTAGACGCTATATCCAATGTGTTCTTATTTATGTTGGAAACTTAATCTGCCTCATTTGTTATCAGTAACCTAAACGGGCTTCAGAAATGAGGGACAACTTTCTTTAAGAGGAATAGGCTGATAGGGATGGGTCTGGATATTTGTGACCCAACCCAGAGCAAAAGCAAGGGCTATTTTATATCTGTCCCAAATGTTTTCATAGTTCTGGAGGATAATTCTAATCATAAGCAAAAAGAATCCATCTCCTGAAGTATATATCCCCAGACACTAATACTGAAAATCCTTCCTTCTGAAAGGTTTCTTCTGTCCAAGCAACTTCCAAGTTCTGTGAATACATTTGTTTGCTCAAGTCCACTTTCCTCAGTCAAGAGTGCAGATTCTCCATTGATTGGTTTCTGCCTTTTCAGAGAAAAAAATTGGCCTGGTCATGTACCATGATTGTGGAGTAAGACCTTCTAATAGCTGGCTTTTAGACTGCACTATTGCAGGGATATGGTAGTTGCTTTTTGAACTTTATCCTTTGTCTCCAGGTGTACAATGTTAAGTCTTTTTTTTTTTTTTTGAATGGAGGATAAAAGATAAACCCAGATTAATCTTAAGAAATCCTTTGTCACGCATTCTTTGCACATCTAGAAAGCAGTTTGTAGTGCTTATTTGTTTTAGTCACATATTAGATTTTTGACCAGGCAGTTATAATTTCAGATCCTTATTTGTTTGCTTTTTAGCTATTTTCCCTTTCTTATTGCTGTAGAAAGTTTACTTCATTTAAAAATGAGGAAACCAGAGTCCTGTTTTCCATATTAATTTGCCACAGGCTATTTCATTTAGTAGTTAACCTCCTAACCAGAGACCAGATTCCAGCATCTGAACCTTAGTTGTCACAAGACTAAAAGTGAATTTGTATTTTTACATAACCCGCTTCTGTTCGGTGTTGTTGAGAAATGGGTTCTAAGCACTAAGGCCCTGCTTGTGGCTTCCTTACTTACACGTGTAAGCACTTTCTCAGATGAGTAGCGTCTCATTTACTTGAATGAGGTTACTCCATTGTGTGAGTATTCTTACATTCAGCTGCCAAATTACTATTGTTATTTCATTGATTCTGTTCTGAGCACCAAAAATGGGCTTGGTACTGCTCAAAACACAGGAGATATGATGAAACATTTGGAAATGACTGAATATCAGATAGGAGGACACCTAACATGCTAGCCAAGAGGTAACTGGGCTTTTTAGTACAGGTGGAGACCAGGCTTCTGCCCAAAAAGTGCATGGGAACTTGGGGAGAGGTGAAACCTGTGCTGCTTGTTGATGATAGTCTAGATGCTGAGTAATGGGTGACAGTGAGGCAGATACCTGATGCATGTATGGCTAGAGATGGTACCTATGCTGCTGGCTGAACGGCAACTTTCTGCTAACAAATGATAGCAGTGGCCGCTTTTCCATTGAGTCTTTGTTGTGCATGGCAGTTGGTGTCAGGAGGGGGAGCGCATTCAGGGCGTCTGACAAGAAAACAAGGGGATGAGTGTGGGAACTGGTGAGAAACAGCAGTTGTCTGAAATGAAATGCCCAGGATTCTTTCCTATAACTGTGAGGGGGGTCCCATCATTAGTCTTTTAACGATGAAGCCATAAACAAATTGACATTAAAAATGTACCTGGAAACTCTTCAATGATAAAGGGTGAGAGGGGAATAAAAAACAAAGTAAAAGTTTGATTTAACAGCTCCACAAGCCATTTCCACTGACATCTCTGAAGGATTAGGATATGTGAAATCGGCTAATATCAGGAGCGTTCCCGCCTTTCCCCCCCTTTTGTTCCATGGGCCAGAGGATAATAAATAGCAGGAGAGGCGGTGCAACTAGTTAGGGATTTCACAGGCTGCTATTTGATGAAGTTTAAGGATTTCTTCTGCTATTATTGCAATTAAAATGGAAAGCGGAACTGTTCTCCATTTGCAAAAGTCTCCAGTGTCCTTAGGAAAAGAGGGCTGAGAGCAAATGGCTATTAACATGGTAATGCTGCCCATTTGGAGGAGTGCATCAAAATCCTCTTTGTTGATGCAAATTGCTGCTCTGTTTGTCCGGTCTCTTTGGATCTCATGGTCTCAGTATAAGCACAGAAAATTGTTCAGAACTGTGATGAAGGAAAAACCACACCTCTTATATCATTTGAGAAGAGCTCCAAGCTGCCCAAGGGCACAGCAGAGAGAAACTTCTTTGCCTTTGTAAACTTGAAGCATTCAGGATTGAAAAGAATCCAATTATTCACTCCTTCTTTTATTCCTGTTTTCAATCTAAAGAAATGCAACTTGACAATTGGAAAACAAGGATGGCTAGTCAGAGGTTTAAGCAAGGAAACCAGCTTTCAGGCATCCTCATCCCTAACTTAAATATGGGGTGTGTGTGTATGTGCACATATTGGGTGGGGGGGACTAAAAAAAAGCCCCATTCATTTATAATACAATATAGATTCCTCATGAGTCTGAACTGTGACTCCAAAATCCAGTCCTGGCTGCAGATCAAACAGCCTCTACTTAAATAGTGGAACAAACCAAAGCCTGGATCTCAACATCCCAAAAATGTTGAGGTTTTTGAAATCTTGAGCCAAACTGTATTGCTTGAGGGCCCCCACCCCAAATGAAACATAAAATTTCAGTTAAAGTGAGGAAAGTGACTTGGTTAAAAAGAAAAATAACCCCACCACAAAGTTTCTTCTTCCCTTCCAGTGATTCCATGTCTACTTGATTAAGTACATAAATCAAATGATTATTTTTCTAACCATTAGTAGCATAACTTCTCCTAGTATCACAAAATCAACTTCTCCCCATTGCACCCCATACCCTGAGGAACCCAGCCTCAGAGATAACCAGTTGAGGGGAGCACTGGCATGTGGCAGCAGCAGCAGCAATTGGGGCCCTCTGCCCTTGCTGCAGCCTACAGGGAACAGTGCATGTGACCCATAAGAAATACCTAAGAAATTCACAGTGGAGCCTAATCATTTCCACTCTAGGATTTTGTCCTTCAGATGTTTCACAATACAGATAATATTCAGGAAAAGACATGCTGTAGTGGTATTGCAGTTAAGGAGGCAGGGAATCCCAGTAGTACCCCAGACGACTGACTGATCAGAGACAGGAATATATCCTCTCCCCTTTTCCT